CTGTCTGTCTTCAGCTGTCACTATAATAAACATTTTTGGACTACTGACTTCAACTTCGACAAGAACTTTGATTACTTAGACTTCTACTCGGAGCTAACCAGACTGCTCCAGATGATTTGTTACACATAATTATCTGGGAAGTCGTATTTGGAAACGGTTTAGAAAAGGATAGATTGGATGAACCATCACTTCAATAATGTAGTCAAACTCTTACTGAAGAGAGAAAACATCTGTTGCATTGAGAAAAAGCCTTCAGTGTCATTCTTTGCTCTTCTTTCAATAAAGAAAGACTCTCCAGTTCTGATAGAATTGATGCTAGCAGCAGCTACGCTAGCCTCTTTAGCAGCCAGCAGGGGGGTTTGGAGGTATGCATCTACTCAAGAGTTTCATTGTATCCCCCTACTGAGGTCTGTACCTTGGTGACCTCAGTGGTGGGTACAGTCATGCTCACCAGAGGTGGCGGTACTCAGTGAGAAGTAAGAAATGCTGGTTTCAGTCCAAAGGCTGTTAAATTGTTCAGAAACTATTTTGCAGATCAAGCTCAGTGTGTCCCAGCAGAGGGCCTTATATCAGATGTTCTAATAACTAAAGGTGTCCCCCAGGGTTCCACATTCTCTATTTTCATAAATGATTTAGGAAAGGACATACAAGCAAAAATACCCCTTTATGCTGATGACATAGTAATTTATACACATGCTGCCTCCATAGCACAGCAAGAGCGTCAGACCTTACTTCAGTCATAACAAACTGATCTGCAGAGTCTAAAATTGGTTTTAAATGCTGAGAAGACAAAGTTCATAGTCTTCTCTAAAGCTTGCTTACAGTTGCTTGATGATTTTAGTATTTTCACATCTGATAGTACCTGGATATCTGGATAGTCAACAAGCTTTGATTTAATGTACATATTGCTACTCTAGATAGGAAGCTCAAAGTGAAAACTGTCTGTGATTGATTAAGTTGACATATTGTAGATGCATGCTGCCTCCTCCACTTTACGGAGCCTTGATTCAGTGTAAAATGCATCTCTACGCTACATTACAAATTTAAAGTATCTCACTCACCATTGCATCCTTTATGATTTGGTGGGTCGGACCAAAGTCAGAGTTATTTATGAGCTATGATACTTGACCTCTGTTTTCAGCCTGTGTTTACTGAATCTGTCTCTATCAAATAAATCCTAAAAATAAAATACACCATGCAATAGAGGCATTTTAATTTTTTGAGATTTTTATGTACAAGTAACTTGTATTTAGACTCCGACATTAAAGACACATTGACTCAGACATGAATGTGAGGATTTTAGTTGATGTACATTGGATTTGTGCGCCGACCAAAAGCAGATGTTTTTACACTTGAATGTCTGTATGTACTCTCTATATCTGTCTGTCTGTCTGTGAGTCTGTCTGTGAGTCTGTGTGTCTGTCTGATGTCTGATGTCTGAAACAGTAAAACTCAGTTAAAATGCAGTTGAATCATCAGTTGTTGGTATTTTTAGCTCGTCTGTCAAACTGTCAGATGTTGCTTTTTTTTGTTGTTTTTCATCCTGTTTTCTGCCGACTTTCAGTTTCAAACACAATCACACACACACACACACACACACACACACACACACACACACACACACGTAATCTCCAACTGTGCTTATTTCCTGATGTATACACTGTCCATCTGTGTGTGTTAATCAGGGCGATGGATCTACACACACAGTGACGGTCTCTGCTGCGTGACCTTTGACCTTTACAGAATTATCCATTGAAAGTGTGTGTGTGTGTGTGTGTGTGTGTGTGTGTGTGTGTGTGTGTGTGTTAATTAAAGGCAGAGGTTTCATTAGACACTCCTCTGATCACATAATCTGTTGACGTGTGATTGGCTGACAGATGATTGGTTAGTGTCGGGCACTCTGTGACATCAGTCAGTTAATGTTCGTCTGTGATCTGATTGGTCGGGACCTGTCCAGCTGTAGTACATATGATTTATCAGTTGCTATGGTAACTGTAGTTTGTTTGACCTTTGCTTTACTCGACTGACTCGAACCACTTTCCAGTTGTTGGTCTAAAGTGTCTGATCTCACTGCAGCAGTTATTTTAAATAAACTGAGGGAGAAAATGAAAAAAATCAAAGGCAACTTCTGACATATTGATCCATGATTGGTGGAACTCAGCTTTGCGTGATTGGACAGAATTAAAAGGTTAAATAGAATTGACAGGAATTGATTGAATTTGTATTCATTGTTGTGATGGTAGCTTCCTGGAGGTTCTGATATGGTGCCAGTGAAAACCCAATCAGATAGATGAAGAGATAATACAAATGATCAATATATTTGTTTTTGGTACATTTATTTTAGACAACATATTTTCTGTTATTCCCTCTGATACAAAGTTTTATAGCCGTAGCTACTTATTGCTAGCGGTCAGCTACTTTAGCCACTATCTGCAGCTGCTACTGTTAGCTGGTTAGCAGCCAATTTAGCCATCCTACGAGGTGAGTCGGGTCGGACTGT